ACATAGTTTAAAGATGGACTTTTCAGAGTAGATTAAACTGGACACACTCTTGTATAAGAAACAGGTTTTGCTCAAATTTGTTTGTTTAAAAAAAAACACTGCTTGCCTTTTCTTCTAGTCAATGCTGCATGCAGAAGACTCAACTAACTACACAGGTCCTGGACCAGAGCAAAAGAACAATGGCAGATAAAATTCTTCAAATAAGATACAACAGCCTTTTCTGAATGTATATTGTATTTATGTTCACAGGCTAATTCTAATATTGCACATTCATATTCCAGCCAGTTGTCTCCACCCTTACCTCCACCCTGAGGCCCATCATAATAGTGAAAGGTGCCCAGAATAACTGCTGTGGAAGTACCCTCATACATCATAAAGTTGGTGTGAGGCATGATAATGGATTAATGGATACACCCCAAAGGCTGTTACTGTGTATAATTGTGTTCCAGGGGACATTTCACCCTCAGTGTATTAGACAAGTCATTTTTGTACAAGAAATATACCTTATTAACAAATGTGTTTTAGCATACTATGTTGTTAGAATAGTAAGAAAACTCTGGGTCTGACACAGCCATGTAAGGGATTTTTTTTTTTCCCACACTGCACTTGAGTCTGGTCTCTCGGTTACCTTCCAACAGAGAAAAATAAAGGAGGCTTGCATCTGTTAAATTTTAAATGATCAAGTTGGCTCCCTTTGGTGTCAAAGTGGCCCAATAACAAAATAACTAATTTCAGCTCTATCTTATAGGTTAAGAAGTCAAAGTACCCATCCCCAAAGGTTGCTGCTGTAAAAAGAAGATGGCTAGATTTTATTTATGGTCCATTTTCCCTCTCCCTATACAAATGTAAACAGTTTTAAAATTGGGGCAGTCTGTCTTCTGTTTCAACAAACTAATACAATTTTTCTTAAACAAGAGGGGCTCAAGATTGCCATTTGGGGACAAGGAGAGAGTTTCCATCTCCATTTTCCTTCCTTTCATGAACAGCACTGAACTGATTAATAGGGGCATATGAAGTTTAAACTCTTAATACATTCCAAGGAAGCAGAAAAAAGGGGAAAGCAGCCTTATATAGTACATATAAGTGAAAGTCCTCAAAAATTACATACTTCTTCCCTCTTTCAATGTGTGACTAAACACCAAGAGGGAGACAGAGACGGACAGAGATGAGAGAAAAGAGAAAGAGGAAGGGGGGGGACAGAGAGAGAGGGAGAGAGAGAGAGAGATGGTGGAGAGACAAAGAGACAGAGAGAAAAGTGCCATTTTCAAACCAGCCATTCTTATGACTTCACCCAATAATAAGGGAGGGGAAGTCTGGCTCCCCTCCTCCCCACCAGTAGATTTAACGGCAGGCCTTCTACCCAGGCATGTCACAGTGATTGAAATGTGCAATGTGCTCAAAAAATAAAACTGAAGAAAATCCAATGATTTGGGCTCTCTTATGTGTTTAGTTCAGAAACGTTGAGAAAGTAAAATCAGCTATTAGGTTTAAATCAGACTGGATACTAACCAAGGCTTTCAACTTAAAGACAAATAAGTAAACGCTTCAGTGAATCAAGAGTAGTTCACTCACTTCTAGTATAAGCCTATTAACATTCAGGGTTAGGCTCAAAATACCAAGTGTTAAATATTGCACCACCAGCCAATAAATTATGCAAAAATCTTGTCAAAAGGGTCTCACTGCACAGCTCCTTTGTCCATTAAGCCTCTCAGAGGCTAATTTTTTAGCTCCAGTTATAAAAAAGAAATAGTGTTTACCATCTGAGGTTTCTTACATGCCACTCTGTGATCAGTGGAGTTGTAAGAAATTAAAAAATGTAATCTCAGTATACTTGTCAGGGAAGTTGATTTAAATAAACATCTGAACTTAATGCTGATTACTTGAAGGAATGATGCAAATATTTATTTCTCATAAAATGAGATCGCATGTTGCTCTAACAGGCTGCAAAACAGATCTATCTGGATTATGCAGTGAACATGCAGAGTACCCACACGAGCACACAAGTATGCAAACTTAAGGGGGCACGAAAATAGAGCCCAAGTTTTCTGCACACAGATGGAGGGTTCCTAGCAAACCGGCAACTTAGCCTCCAAAATAAACCAAAATGTATTCTCCCAAGCACTCTTTTTTTCCCCCTGCAGCTAGAGTTGAACAGAATATACAGGAAGTGGGTTGTTCTTTAATTATGCCAACTTTGAAATCAGCAAATACACTTTATCAGTTATGCAAACTAAGAATTTTACAGGTCTGAGATGAAGGGGAAAGTACAATAGACTTCTTTGTTCAAGTCAGGATATGGTTTCTATAGGTTGTAAATATTCAGGGCTTGCTTAAGCATCAGTATGAAGGTCCTATTTTTTAAAAACTGTGTGGCCTCCTCCTTCCAACTTCCAAAAGATTTAGTTATATCATCATGCCTCACGCTATATTCAAACTCTCTGTAATTTGGTGTTTCGGAGAGATTTTGTTTTCCTATTCAGTATTACTCATCTTCCTATGTTTAGTTTGCTGGGGGCTTTTTTCTCCCCCTCTTTCTCAACCTGTCCTTATAATTCACCCCCTTTAATCCTGGGATTAGCCTGGTTACCTTCTCTTTCAAGCACTCAAAGTACAACTGGGACATCAAGTCCAATAAGCCCCCAGTTTTGTGGGGTTTTTTGTACTATTTTTTAACGGGGGGGGGGGAGACCCTAACCCTCTAGAATCACTGCTGGAAAGATTTAAATCTGCTTTTAGAGGCTTACTTTTAACAACCACTAGAAAAAAGAAAAGAAAAGAAAAAGAAAAAAGAAAGGCACTTCCCTTTAAGAAGGATTTTTTTAAACCATTTTCACTGGCCCCAATTTCCACTACTTCTTACCAGATGCAAAACTCCCTTATTTTTCTCATTTGGAAGGTGAGCGGGTGTCTTTACTCAAATGAGGGGGGGGGGAGAAGCACTTACATGGCAATGTCAGACTCAGAGTTTTGTTGCCATACTAACATATGTTCCTAGTACAACAAATCACATTTTAAACAGTACCACTGCCGACATAAAGTGGGGCTCCCAATTGCTGAATCAGCATTTTTAGTCCCGAAGTTTCAGGCAGTTCTAAAACAGCAATAAAGAGAAGGTGGGGGGGCTATAACGCACGTTTACTTGCAAGCATACTTTTGCCAGTTGTTTTTTTTGTGTGTGGTTTTTTTTTGCGGGGGGGATTGTTTGGTACCTCTTACATAAGGTTTGGAACTGGGTTTGTAATAAAAATATGACTTTAAAAATACATTGTAGGGGAAGTACTCTTTTTTTATTACTAAATTTTAGCATTCTTAGATTTCTAACAAATCTCGATGGTGTGAAAGTCACTTGTGGCTCCTCAGAGTTTAAGTTAAAAAAAAAAAAAGTTTGGTCAGCCACTCTACTCCCCCTCAAAATCCAGTTGCCATTTGCATACTCGCCAGCGAGCTCCAGCAGCAGTCAGCAGACCTAGCCAAGAGAGAGAAGCAGGGGGTTTGGAGACGCAATTACCGAAGGCAGCGAATTGCATCAGAAATTTCCTTCTCAAAAACAGTCACACTCTAATCCTGCTCCCACTGTTGGCAGTTAAAAGGGTAACCGAGCCACATCTTTGTGTCTTACCTGCTCCAACTCTAAGTGCAATTAAACTTCTTGAAAAGCTGTCCTGGGAAGATGGAGGGGGATGGGGAGGGGAAGGGGAAGGGGGGAGGTGAGGGTTCTCGACTTTTTGAGCTTCCTTCCAAGAACTCAAATACTAACTGACGTGCGCGCGCCCGCTCACATACACATACACATACACACACACACACACGCATACACAATCCATTCCCCCCCATGTATACATGCGTGTAATACACACGCACACGGTTTGGAATACGCGGCGGTCAAGAAAATAAATACAGATGCAAGAATGTCACCTCCTTCCCTTCCCCCTCCCCTATGCATACACACTGACACACAAATATGTAACACACATTAGCACACGGTACGAAAGAGACAGCCGTCAAGACAATAAATGCAGATGCAAAAACCTCCCCCCCTTAGCCCCTCCCCTTTCCAGGGGAGTGTTGACCAAGGACCGGAATCCCAGTTCCAGGGTAGTGAACAGAAGGGGAGGGAAAAGGACAATTACACCCCCAGTGGCACCCGCCCTCACTCTTCCTTTCTCCATAGCTCCCAGTGCCTCCCAGCCCGGCAAATCTAACCCCCCGCCCCATCCCCCCAGCATCTGCTTTTTTCTTGCTTTTCCCCTTCTTCTTGGAGGAAATGAGGGGTGCCTCACTTATGACAAGCCCGTAGAAGAATGCGAGCAGGCTCAACATTTCCCCCAAGGGGTCAAGAGAAGACTAGTGAGCGGCGCGGCAGGGAAAGGCGGCCGGGAGGCTAGCGGGCGAGCGGGCCATGCCTCGGCCGACTCGCTGCCCAGCCGGGCCAGGCAGGGCTGCGGACCAAGTTAGCCCCGATCTTGACCCCGGGTTGCCGAGGCGCGGCGGGCACCCCACCCCGCGGGCCACCGCGGCTGGGGGGGCAGCCCCCAGCCCCAGCTGCAGCCCCTGCCCCGTGCTTCGCCGCAGTGGGGGGGCTGGCTCCGCGCTCCTCTCCCCGCCCTCCGCGCCGGCTCCGCGGACAAGCGGCAGGCGCAATGGGCTGCCTCCTTCCCCCGGCGACTTCTGCCAGCTCCGGGCCGGAAGGGGATGCAGAAAACAACTTTTCTTGCATTCGCCCCTCCGCACACAGGCACCACCAGCACCCCAACCCTGCAAGAAGAAGGACCCGCGGGTCCCAGGGGCCCCCCCGGGGGGCTTGGCAATCGCCTCCCCAGGCAGTCTGCCTTCCGTGGTTTCTCCACCTTCCCCCTTACCCCCCTCAAAAAAAACTTATGCAGGCTGGGTGAGTGGGGTGAGGTCAAGGAAGGCGGGTCTACCCTGACGGGCCGGGAGCCGCTAGGAACTCCGGCTCGCTCTCTGGGCGTGCATGCATACATGCATGCTTGCATGCCTACCTGCTGTTGGTGCTGTTTGCTGCTGCCTCCTTCCTCAGAGTCGCCCCTGGGCCCCCACCCCGCTCACAACTGGCTCCGGAGGTCCCGGTAGGAGCCTTCGCTCGAGGGTCGGGTGGCAAGCTGAACCGATTCGAGGCAGGAGAAAGAAGGGAAAAAAGGGGGGGAGGGGGCAAGACTGGCACTTTCGGAGCGGGAAGGCAGGACTGGGTACTCCCGTAGTTGCCCAGTCGTTCCGCAGAAGATTCGCACGCCCGTGCACGTAGTCGGCCGTAAAAGGATTTTCAAGAAAACTTATGTGGCTTCGCCTTCGCAATCGCCGCCGCCGGAATCGCCCAGTCTCCTCTCTCTCCTTCTCCCTCTTTCTCTTTCTCTCCTCCTCCCGCCGCTGGAGCTCCTGGGGATAGGGCGGCTGCCGCCGCCGCCGCCGCCGCCGCCGCCTGCGATTTCTCCTCCTCCTCCTCCGAGGACCGGGCTCTGGGGCTCTCACAGAGAGAGGCTCAGCTGACTCTCCAGCTCAAGATCTATCACCCCCTTCCCGGGCTCCCTCACTTCCCCCACCCCCTTTAATGGGCTTTAAACCCGGCCGGCCCCGCCTTCTTCTCCTCCGCCCCCTCCTCCCTGTCCCTCCTTCCCCTCCTCCTCTTCCAACTCCTTCTCCGCCACCTCCTCCTCCCGCTGCTGCTTGCTTGCTTGCTTGCTTGCTTGCCGCTGCTGCTGGTGCTGCTGCTACGATGACCAGACTGCCGGGGAGCGTAGAGGGCTCCCTGCAGCCACCGCTGCAGTCTGGAGCTCTGGGAATCTGTCTGGATGGAGATGAGGAGGAACCAAAAGACAGAGGGGAAGTCTGGTCCTTTTCACCTTTCCACTCGTGGGTTTTGTTTGGGCACTTTTTTCATGACTAGGAAGCTAGCCTTCTCTATAGCATGTGCTAGAGTCATAGATCAGGCACAGAAAGAGACATCGGTTGAAAGGTTAAAAAATAACCAGCTTTTTCTACCAACTCTTTTCTCCCAAGAACCCAAATTTGGAGAGAGAAGCAGCTCTTTTGCTTGCAAGCCTGAGAGAGGCAGGGCCGGAGCATGTGAGCACAGAGGTAAAAAATATGGGGCGTCCTCAGTTAACAAACTTTGTTTTCCAAAACTTTGTAAATCGACTAATTGGAACTGGCCTCCCATAAAAGCAAGATTATATACACTGGTTAGTATCCCAGGTGAATCTATAAAAAGCCTATTTAATTCAGACAGTACCTCAGTGAGAGACTAATAGCTCTAGTGAGTTAAGCTGCACCCAAAGTGGAGGCGATGTCTGGTATGAAAAAAGCCTGGAAAAAGTTCACAGTTCCATCCGACCTTGGGCAAGTCCATTAGGGCCATACGGACATAGCTTTTAAAGATGGAAGAACTCTAGAGATCAGGGGTTCTTATCCTGGGTTAGATTTCAAGAGGTATATGAACCAGAATGGGAAAAAAATTACATCTTTATTTTTGTTAATCTCTACGAAATGTAGCATTTCCTTTAATTATGAATTTAAAAACAACAACAGTAACAACATTCGGAGAAGGGATCTCACCAGACTGACAAAAGGGGCCTTTGCCACAGCTCTAATTAATTGTGATCTCTGATTTCTAATCTACCACTCCTCTAAGCTCACTATGCTGCCACTAACTCATTCTAGGTCTCACTTTCCAGTTGAACATAAATTACGTAAGGATGGGGACTTCTCATTTTTTTTCTTGGTAGCCGCATCACCAGAGCATTTGCTCCATGACAACTTGTAAAAAGGGACATTTGGACCATTACATTTTTAAAATATTTTTGACACCTCTATTACAATAATTAGCTCTTTTTAAATCTAGGACCCTAAGGTCCACTTGATTCCTTCCTCTTCCACTTTACAAAGTTTGTTTTAATTTTTTTTTTTAAACAGAGTTCTGAGTTAAGTCAAAGTTGTTCTGAGTCCCCCATTAGGAAAATTCCCCGACACCTAGTCGGAAGTTGGGATCTCTGCCTGATCTTATATTTATATCTATTTCTAGTTAACTTCAGGCCTCTTTGTGGTGGAGTCAAAATTCAGTTTGGGAACGTTTGAGTAATGAAACAGCAGATTATATTGTAGTGTCTGTGGATAGACAGGAGGGGAAAGAGCTTGCCTTTTCTAGGCATTTCTGTCACTAATGACTGTCCTCTGTATTCTCTGCCATGGCTCACTCCTGTCTTCCCTCTTCAAAGATATACTGAGATTCATCCTCTTGAATCCAAATGCTCAGAATCCCTTCCCCAGGTTCTGAGACAGTTTCTTTCTTTTATATAATGCCTATAGCGTGGCCTAGCCTTTCACACAAAGGCATTGTACAGGCTCTGTTCGCATTCAGTTCCATTTGTACGATCAGAAAGCGTTCTCACCTAGTCAAGGCACCACAGTCAAAATGGAGTGGTTTCAACCACACCCTTACAATAATATTATGAGTTTATACCTCTACAAGAGAAGGTCCCTCTCTAGGTCAACAAGCTGTTTTAAATGGGTGGGGAGAGAAAGGGGGAGACCCATGTGGATTCTTCTTGGATTCTTGACTTGACTCTGGTACTGGCTGTGTATAAATCGGCCTTCTTTCTAAGTTAAGTGTTCACAAGTTGGGGGCAGGCTGTAAAGCTAAATTGCATATTTGTTGGCTTGCATGTACTTAGACTGCCTTTGGTTTCCTCTCTCTGCTGTTGGAAGTTAGCTAGACTAACACTGCCTTAACACTGGCAGATGGTAAAACAAACTTCCTTTCTGCACTCACACATAGCTCTGACATGAATAGAAATGCCCTCGGATGGGAAGGTAGAGCCTTGGAACCAGATCCCTGAACCATTCTGCCTTAAGGATTCCACGTACTGTTCAGTGCATCCCTGAAGGCACTCTGTTGCAAGCCTTGGGAGGGATAGGAAGAGATCCTTGGATGATAGCAATTTAGATGTGTAGAGGGCTTTCATGTCAGCAAAGCCCTTTTTTCCTCATAGCAACACTGAAGTCTATAGCTTGAAGACAAAGGTAAAACTAGGCAGAAACACTAAACTAGAGATTGAGTTGAAGTGCTAGCTTCAGCACTAACGATATGACTAGAAGAATCAAATTACTTCTTTGAACATCCTTTTTCTCATCTGTAGAATGGGGGGGTGAGAACTAGCTAGGGGGCAAGGTGGACAAGATTAAAGATGTAACACTGGAAACCTAGAGGCAGCTGCTGAAAAACTCAGGGGAGTAGGGCCAGAATCAGATTAAAATGTAATTGGGAAATATTTAACAAAATAGAAATATGATAGGACATAGATAATGTTAATTTGTGATTTTCCAATTATTTTTATTATTAATTAATTTATTTTTAGTTTTCAACATTCACTTCCACAAGATTTTGAGTTCCAAATTTTTCTCCCCATCTTGTCCCTCCCCCACCCCACGATGGCATGCATTCTGAATACCCCTTCCCTTAATCTGCCCTCATTTCTATCTCCCATCTCTTCTCCTATCCCCTTCCCCTTCTATTTTCTTGTAGGGCAGGGTTCTATACGCCATTACCTGTATATCTTATTTCCCAGTTGCATGTGAAAACAATTTTTAACATTTGTTTTTAAAACTTTGGGTTCCAAATTTTCTCCCTTCCTCCCTCCCAACCCACCCTCATTGAGAAGGCAAGCAACTCGATACAGGTTATACATGTGTAGTCATGCAAAACACTTCCATAGTAGTCATGTTGTGAAAAACTGACTATATTTCCCTTCATCCTATCCTGCCCCAACCACCACCCCATTTAATTCTATTCTCTCTTTTAACCCTGTCCCTCCTCAGAAGTGGTTTGCTTCTAATTACCCCCTCCCCCAATTTGCCCTCTCCTCTATCATTCCCCCCACCACCACCTCTTATCCCCTTCCCCCCTATTTTCCTGTAGGGTAAGATAGATTTACATGCCCAATTGAGTATGTATGTTATTCCATCCTTAAGCCAAATCCCTTGAGAATAAGATTCACTCATTCCCTCTCACTTTCCCCCACTTTCCCTCCACTGTAAAAGCCTTTTCTTGTCTGTTTCATATGAGATAACTTACCCCATTCTACCTCTCCCTTTCTCCTTCTCCCAGTATAATCCTCTCTTACCCCTTAATTTTATTCTCCAGATATCACCCCTTCATCTTCAACTCACCCTGTGCCCTCTATCTATCTATCTAACAATCTATCTATCTATCCATATAATTTTTTCCCTCCAACTACCCTAATACTGACAGAGGTCTCATGAATTATATAATCTGTGATTTGCTAAATCAGTATGCAGCCCTCTGTTTCTATTTGAGTTTGACATCACTGTACTAGATGACTTCTAAGACCCCTTCCAGCATTGTTGACTGAATTTAAAGCCTGTAGGAGGACAGGAAGCTTTGCAGTCACTTCAGGTTTGATATTAGGTCCCTAGCTCTCCATCCTTCAGTTCTAGAGCCATGCTAAAGCTTCCAACCAGCAAGCTGAACATGTCCAAGCTATGTTCTATGGGGTAGCAAGAGCCACACTATAGAGAGGCCTGAAAAGTCTAGGTTTGAAAGATTACTTATGGTCAAGAAAGGATTCAAATTGTAGTTTTTAAGTGTTTTCACAGTATACTCAAGAATTGACTTTTAGGCCCTGCTGTGCTGCTTAGCAGCTGTGGAAACTTGGACAAGTCTCATTTATGTCTTTCATAAAAATTAAGAGGTTAGATGGCATGATCCCTAAGGCCCCTTCCTGTGTAAACATTCTAAGAACCAGGTTCTAGTCTTCACTCTTCCGTTAGCTAAGTATACAACCTTGGACAAGGCAATTAAAGGCCATGTGCTTTGGTTTCCTTATCTGAAGAATGGGAATACACCTTCCCTACCAATTGCTAAAGTTTGTGGTTAGTATAAAATGAGAAGACCATCCCCTGATTCAACCATCTCCAAGGATCTAGCCAGTATAGGTATTTTGCCATCTGCCTTGCTGCCAGCCCCCTTTTGCTTCCTGCAGAGAACAATATTACTGTCGCTACTGGAAATTACTTGACAATTTGTTGCCGTAAGGTTCTACTCACAATCCCTGCCCAGACCAGAGTTCCCTCCCAGATATCTGTTAGTAGAATATAGGCACCTTGAGGACAGATGAACTCCTTGAAGAACAGCGACTAATTTTTGCCTCTCTTTGTATCCCCAGCACTTAGCACGGTGCCTGGTATATGTTAGGGGCTTAATAAATTTTGTTGACTGTCTCACTTTTCTCTTTGTTCCTAGAAGTACCTGGCACATAGTTGGTTCTTTATAAATATTTGTTCATTGATTAATCAGGACTAAAAGGACCTATAATTTAGTTCTTCCATAATATAGATTGCAACTCCTCCACCCCCACCTCACATGCCTTAGTAGATGGTCCTACTGAATGACTTCAAAAAAAAAAATTCACCCTGAAGCCAACCTAATGGTGAACCCCTCCTAATTTAGCTAGCTTCACATGTTGCCCTCTACTGGCACAATC